CCAAAATCCCAAAATCATGCTAAAAATTCAAATAAAAAGATTTAGATGAATACAAGGCAAGATAACGACTTTATACCTCAAGAATACTGCTATTAGTGAAGAGATTATGGATCTATACTCCTTCTTCCAAGCTAGATGCTTCAAACTTCCAAGATCCTTCCAAAGAATCACCAAAATCAATTCTCCAAGCTCACCACAACTCACACACTCAAGCTTGCAAGGATATACGAACTTAGGGTTTTCTGGACAAAAGGGAGGCTGGTAGGGAGGCCACCCAAGGGGGTTTAGGTCCTTTAAATAAGCTGCAACACCCTAAAATTAGGGTTTCATCCCAACCGCCAACTCGTCGAGTTGGGTCATTAAACCCCCACGACCACAATGATCTCAACCCGACGAGTTGGAGCTCCCAAACTCATCGAGTTCCAACAAAGATTTCTAATGTTTTGAGAAATATTTTATACATGGACCCAAGGTTGTAGTCTTGTAGAACTCGTTACTCAGTACCTGTTTGGCCGACTACCGAGTAACGAGTACTCGGATTCGGTAATTCATGTAGAAATATTTTTTAGGGAAATTATATATGTCAAAATCATAAGTTGATTGAAATATATAACGAAATTAGATACACGTGAATATACAAAAACTGAAAAACATATAATGGTCTCACTACGTGAATAATTAAAGAAAATTTAAGATATATATGTAGTAATAATTACATGTGTGAGTGTTAAAAAATAAACCATTAAGTATATTATAAATATTAATCACCGAGTTGACCGAGTTTTACAACATTGCTCAGTTCAGTAAGGGGCCGATCGGGGAGTACTCGAGATTTTGTAACTCGCCTCGGTAAGGAGCCGAGTATCGAATACTCGGAGGAGTAATCGGTCAACTTGACGAGTTTTACAACATTGCATGGACCAAACGCTACAATAATCCTATAAATTATCAAGTTGATACAAAGTAATAAATATTATTTTGTCATAGTGTTTATATTTATTGTAATATTTTATAGCAGTTTAGTTTTATAAAAAAATATTATTTCGTAATAACGAAATGATTTAAATTTTCTTTTCTTAACAAAACATCGAATGATATATTACAGGATAATATCGAATTTATATTTTGGTTGGTTATGCGTTTAAATAATGTCCAACTTTGCGTGCTAATAAATTACCACCACCATCGCCGTTACCAATTACCATCACCAAGCAACAATCATCTCTTCCAGTCCACACACCGACCATCTACAACCACCACGCACCACCTTCTGACCTACATACAACTACTTTACAATCAATCACACACACACACACCCAAACTTTACAGGGATACACCACACAATTCTCCTACAGGAACTCCCAAAAATGGCCAACTTGTATGTCCAAGCGGTGCCGCCGACGGATCTCAACAGAAATACCGAGTGGTTCATGTACCCCGGCGTTTGGACCACCTACATACTCATCCTATTCTTTGCTTGGCTCGTCGTTCTCTCCGTCTCCGGTTGTTCTCCTGGCATGGCCTGGACCACTGTTAATCTCTGTCACGCTCTGGTATACTTCTTATTTCATTTGTTCTGATTTCATTTCATATGTTTCCGATTTTAATTTTAGTTCAACATGCTGACATGCTTGATCACCTTGTTATGATCGCGGTAGAGTCAATTTGCTTTAATTTTGTTTGTATTGATGGAATTATGATGTTACTCTATCTGATTTTAGGGTTTTGAAGTATGCACATTCTGTGCAGTTTGCTTGATCTGTGTTGATGATTGTTTTATTAGTTATAACTAAAGTTCATGCTATGACGAGTTTAGATCTATACTTGTAATCGCAAAAAGTGGAGATAGAAGAAGATAACCAGAGTTGATTCGTGCTTTCTCCGTGTTGCAAGTAAATCCTTTGGTATTGAAAGATCTGCGACATCTACTTAGGGTTTGAGTTCTATGATAAGCTGTTCAGAGCTGATACAGATGAAACTGGTTTGAGCTTGAACTATTGTTATGAGTTGTCACTCTTACTTGTATGAGAATCACCATAACTTATCTTTTGGGAAGAATTGGGTGCTACTGTGGGAGGTATACTGGAGCTTATTGATGAGACCCTGCACTCATGCTTATATGCCATTATATATATGATATATCAAAGGCATATGTATTTATTGTTCCTTTGTTCTCAATTGGTGTATTTGTCACCAAAAAAGCTACATTTTCTTAAGACCAAGCAACCTATTCATCATGCTCCAATCTCCATCATATGTTGCTTGCATATGCATGGAATTTTGTTTGTATCTAGATAAAACTTAAGTGCTAATCTTTGTTTTTGTATTAGGTTACATATCACTTCTTTCACTGGAAGAAAGGAACACCTTTTGCTGATGACCAAGGTATCTACAACAGGTTGACATGGTGGGAGCAAATTGATAGTGGCAAGCAGCTCACTCGCAACAGGAAGTTTCTTACTGTTGTGCCTGTAGTGCTGTAAGTTCTCTCAGTTTCCTTTAAGCCTGTAATCAGGGCCTTAAAGCTCATAAATCATATCACCATGATTATGTTTTGGTATTATTGAATGTTGAATTCTGTTAGAGTGCAGACTCTGCTCTATTGAATTTTTCCACATTAGGTGTTTTATGTATAAAGTGCTGAATGGACAAACACTGTTTCTTGTTTAAGACAGAATCAATCTTCATTGAGAGTAGATGACCATTTCACCCTTCTGTTTAGGATCAAATTAAAAGAAGTGAGGGTGAAGGGTAAATAGGTAAAAAGGAGTTCTGAATGGATGCGACTCAACCCATTAAGACCTTCTGTATGTATCAAGTAAAAAAGAAACACCTCTGTATATCTGTCCCATTAAGTCCATTAAGTCAAAAAGAAAACTGTCCAGTGTGTTGTGTGCATATGATCTGTTTCTTTTCTAGACTGAATAACCCTTCTAAATAAGACCATTTTACCCTTACATCCCATAAAACAAATTTCACAATATCCATCAGGAATCAAGTAAATAAGAAACAACCATGTATAGCTGTCCAAATTGAGAACTAAACCCATTAAGCCTATAAATTCAACAAGAAAAACAGTCACTTGAACTATTTTAAGATCATTTGTTATGTGAATAAATGTGAACATTTTTTTGTTGTTGTGCAGATACTTGATAGCATCACACACAACCGATTATCAGAACCCAATGCTGTTCTTGAACACAATAGCAGTTTTTGTGTTGGTGATTGCCAAATTCCCACATATGCATAAAGTCAGGATTTTTGGAATCAATGCTGAAGAGTGAATCATGTTATCTTTTAAAAAAAAAGGATACTAGTTCAGTTCTATCCGTGGATATATATATGTGCATCTTTAATTTTGACATATCATGACAATTAAAAAGGTTTGGAACTGGATAAAAAAAAAAAGGTATATTAACTTTTTTGTTATATTTTTTTCCCCCTTTGTGTCTTGTGGATGATCCAAAAACTAGAAAAAAAAAAAAAAAAAGACTTTTCTTGTGTCTTTTGGTGGTTGATTTGTAATGCTGAGTGTAACATCTCTTGGAGGGTTGTTTGGAAATATTGTTTACTCAATTTTAAGAACAAATATTTTCTCAAATTGTTGTGGAAGGTGCCATATTTCTCAAATTACAACATTAATGCAAAATGCTAAATAAAAAGTCTGATAAAAATCAATCAGTATTATAGACAACTAATAGAGTAGTGTCTATTATTCACATGAATGATTTAATTACTCTCCAAGTTGTCTATAGTGATATTCCGACATTTTTTTATGAATTCCTGTGGAAAGTGCCACTTTTCACCATTTTTCGTCTCATTTAATGATATTACGACATTTTTTTTTCTCACAGATTTAAATAAATTAATAACGATTGTACACAGATTTCTATCCATAAATGTATTAATCGTTGATGAAACTTGACTATTTTATGAATTTCAACAAAATTTCTGTAAACCTTAATTTCATTTGAATCTGTATTATTCAAATTGAAGGAATAATTCATATGTTAATATGAATCTAAATCATATTGCAAGAATAAAATTAGTCGTGAATCTTCAAATAACAACAAATATGGAAGGAATAATTTCAATAAAATTCATCTAAAAAAATTCAAATCGTTTTCTATAATCAATAACTTGGTTTTCAAGATCGAAAATGTTCATTCTAAACATTAGTTTTTATTTATTTATTTATTTATTTATTATTATTTTTTTTGAAAAAAAATAGTTTGAAACTCCTTTTTTATCACTTATGTTTATTCATTTATATATTTTGTTTTCCAGACTATTTTTATATGACCCAATTCATATTTAACTTACTTTGTTATTCAAAAATATAAAAACAAAAAAAGAAGAAGAATAACAAAGATTATAAAAAATAATGAAATTGTCGAAAAATGTGAAAGATGTTAAACTAAGTGAAAAAAAATGAAGATATAGCGAATAAAACAACAAGTTAGAACTTTACAATGTGGTATAATTTAAAATTCACATTGTGGATATGTATTTAAGAGATCATATTAGGACTTTACAATGTGGTATAATTTAAAATTCACATTATGAATATGTATTTAAGAGATCATATTTGTAATGGTGCTTCACATGTGAATTATTAAAGACTAAATCAACATTATTATTGTGTTACGAAATGCAAATTTACAGTGTGAATCTGTGTTTGAAAGATCATATTTCTATACAGGTGCTTTATATTTTGAATTCTTAAAGAGTCACATTGAAAATATTGATTTACATTACATTTTTATGTTGTAATATTTATTCACATTATGAATTTAAAAGTGTTGGTAACAATTCACAATGAATTGCATATCTTGGAACCATTTTTAGATGCCCCATTTGCTTTCTCTCTAATGCTCTTGATTCTTTTATCACTGACCCATCATTTGTTTCTAATCCCTACTAGGTTGTGAATGTTGATAACATCATGTATCGGTGCTCTAAGTGTGTTCTCAATGTGAACTGATCTATTCAAAGATGCCCTTGATGAAGTACATAAAAGAATGTCACTATTACTCTCTAGAAGTTCTTTATAAATTTATGTAACTCATCATCATTCTTTGTTATCTTGTTAATGGACAAACAAATAATAGCATATGCATCTTGAATCAAACAATCATTTTAATATGAAAAATATATGACGACATATTTAATGGAATTTCATCAAACTCTTTCATATTTAATATGAAAAATATATGACGACATAACACTTCGTCCTGGACAAAAGCATGCACTACAACTAATGGTATCATCCTTTGTACTAAATAAAACCTAAAAAATTACCATTAATGACCAAATGAGCATGTGAATAAGAAACTCTATTTCATATCATTCAATAAAAATCATCAGAATCTTCATCCTCATTCCCTTTTTTACCAATCAACTTTTTTATATTCTTCTTATCTCATAAAACATAAACTTCATTTACATCTTCAATAACTACAAAATCTTGAATGCAAAAATGTAGAATTGTATAACTCTTTCTGTATTTCCAAGAAAATATTATGTGTATAAAATTCTAATCCATGTTTTTTAATAGGTAAAGGAGTCCTTAGCTTGGGGATGGTAGTTGTGTCCTGATAATGTAACATCCACTTTTGGGAAATTTCTAATTTTAGGATAACAAGCCTCAATATGATCATGTAAATGTTTTGGGCTTCATGGGGTTAAAGTTTAGACCTTATTGGTCATATATATATATATATATTAAATGGTAGAATGGGAAAGAAATATTTGAACTCATTGATTTAGTTCGATATTCATTAAGTCAAAAGTAAGTAGATAGAAGTGTGAGACTTATCAATACCTTCGCATTCATATAAAGATCACTAAAAACAGAGTTGAAATGAAGAAATTATGACTATTTGAAGCTGAAGTGAATTTTAGGAAAAACGAGTACACCATGATGTGGTGAGGAGTTCTCCACGACGTGGAGCGTTATTTCTAATTAATTTTTAATAATTAATTTTTGATTAATTATTAATTAAACAATGTTATTTCTAATTAATAAATCATTTATTACTATTTATTAATCATATTATAAATCAATAAATCAATATCTCTCTCCAAAAACCACTCTAAACAATTACTAGTTCTGATGACAACCTAAAAATGATTTTGCTTCCATTTGTAGCTTCATAGTTGTGATCTGAAACAAACACAGAAATATATAACTTTAAAGAACATTGAAGATTCTTGAACTTTAAAATTGCAGGACATCCATTATTCTTAGAAGCAGTTCTCCCTTTGTTTTAATATCTGACAAGCTTTCATTTATATTTTCATTCTTGAAGGAATCTATGAAACCAAATATAGTACATGTAGAATATCTATGACGAACAGTGCCATCATTATATTATATCTTTTTTGTATCAATTTATCATAACGACCAAGCCTAAAAGACTCAATGTTGTAATGTTCAAAATCAAAATTATTAGGAGAGTTACTACTACTTGAATGAATAATTTTCATACTAGAAGTTGAAAGATCATGAACTACAAAAGCAAAAAAAAACATGTTTTTATTACATTATATAGAAAATATGAAATTACATTAAGAAAAATATCAAAAACAAACAAAATGAAGCGACTTTTTTTTTAATGAAAAAAAAGTTCGTTCTTTTATATATCAACATTGATCTCTATAAAAAGATGATGAAAAATCGAGAAAATCCGGTATATTAGGTTTTTTTTTCGATAAAAAATGTATTCTAAAAAAAATTTTAAACGAAAAAAAAAGATGAGTTTTTTGGTAAGGAGGTGTATTTTTTTTTTTTTTGGTATAATCCAATATATGTGTGTCAAATGTACCACGGTACATCTATTTCTTTGGCCATTAATCATTATGATTTCCGACACTCACGATCTATGATGCATGGAAACGCCTAAAGAGGATCCGTTCCCGTATCTGAAACGGTTGGGAAACGGAAACGCCAGGAAATGTTTCCGGCAAAGTATCCACTATTCTAGAAACGTTTCATGTAAGTTTCCTCCACGTTTCCTTTTTTTTTTTTGCATGGGCTTTTAATGTGCTAATGGGTAATGGGCTATAGTCCTATATCGCACGCTAACTTGCTATTACCCTACAGTTAGCCGATTACAATTTACAAGCCTAATTTCTAAAGTCTAAAACGATTGCTTCGCTGCTGCCTGGTGCCTAGTGTGTCGGTGTCTCCTTGGTGATTGGTGAACGACTTTTACTGCCTTGCGCCCTTGCCTCTGTGTCGTCGATCAAGAAGACAAGAACAAGAAAATAATTTAGAAATCATTCACACATTCACCACTCACCAATTCAGATTTTATATCCATTATTTTGGAATTTCTTTAATATATATATATATATATATATATATATATATATATATATATATATATATATATATATATATATATATATATATATATATATATATATATATATATAAAAGATTGTATTTTTCTGGATATCCTTTTCATTCCTCTTCTACCAACAGAAAGCCTTTGTAACCCTTTTCAATATTGAGATTAATTATTAATATGATGTTCATTCAAAGTGGTTTTTTCCCAATTTCGGGTTTTTCCACTATAAATCCGGTGTTCCTTTAATTCATTATTACATTTTGATCTTTACATATACATAATAGTTTTTTTTTTTTTTTTTTTTAATAGTTTTAAATTTTCGGTTAAGTGAAGATTCAAACTCAAAACCGGATCGATAGGAATTAGGACGATTGATGGAACGTGTGTTGGTTATTTTAGCTACTGTTGACACAAACTGATTGCAACTAAACAAAAAAAATACGATCATAACAATGATATGTCGATAATAAATATTTGAAAAGGACAAAATAAATCATTTATGAAGGTTGAGGTGATGATTTTAGTTATTGTTTGGGGCCTTTTTTGTAAGATCCTTTTCATTGCCATGGCCCAATCCACTAATATGGAATCACGAGTCGAATGCCAATCGTTTTTCCTTTTCATTTTCTAATTTGACACCATTTATGTGGTTTAGAATCATCACAAAAACAATGAACTAATAATGCTTGAACCAGGGAATTACATTTTCAAATGTGTTGTTGGGTCTTCCCTTACATTCTCTCTTTCTAGTTTCCTCAAACCAATATATTGTTTATTAGCAAATTTACACAATTAAGGGTACATTTCTATAGCCTAAAAACCAAGACATTTTCTTGATATTACAAGAAACAGAAACTTAATCAAAAAACATGTAAATTAAGAACAACGAAAGCAATATAAACTAAGTTATCAAGAGTTTTTATACAAATAAATAGAACTCACTTAAGACAATGCATGTGTAATAGAAATCAATTGTTTAACGATTAACTTGTCATATACACATGCAACTTGTTCCTTTACACATTAACTGGTTTACCATTAAGTCTTCCAGCCAAAAAACATATGTAGGATTTAAGCTTATAATGTAATATTAAGGCATGTTTGGGTTGTGGATTCTAATATAACTAGAATTCAAGATTATATTCCATAGCTTATTTAGTTGTCAGACCGATACATTTTAGTTATTTGGAAGCTTCAGGTGTCAAGTTTAATAGATAAAGTTATTAAAAGTTACTTGAAGTAGCTTTTAAAGTGATTACTATACTTACCATTTCATTCACATAAATTGCAAAATAATAAGTTACTTACCATTTCATTCACATAAATTGCAAAATAATAAGTTATACATATTATTCTACTCACAAGGGGGAAGAGGGTATATGAAGCAATTTGGGGGATACCTAATGGGGGATATGTATAGAATACCTTTGTAAATTAGGATTTTTTGTTTAAAATGAAATCTTTAGTATATATTTGACAAACTAGTTGGAAGTTGAAAACTGAAAATTGTATGTAAGTTTTATTTGTGTAAAATATTTGTAAAAATAGTTTGAAAAATATAAAATGACATAAAATATAGAAGCAAAAAACTCTAAAAAAAAACTAGTCGAATTAACATTTTGTTTAAAAGAAAATTTTTAAACTCATAATCATATCAAATTTTAACTTTGATTCTAGTTTTTTTTTAATTATACCAAGGTTTTAAAAAATTCGTCATTCGAGGTTATGATTCTAAGGCTTTTACTTGCCGCCAAACTTTAACAAAATATCACCTTAAATCATATATGTATATAAAAATGAATAATAATAGAAAATACATATAAAATTATTAACTATATAAATTAATTGTAAATTACGTCTTACAAACAACATGGTTCGCCATAGCTTGTAAAAAGTTGAGGCTTGCCTAACATGATTTAGAAGCTTGGTAAATACCATTAAAAAAAATTAATACAAACAAAATTTTAAAACTATTTAATTTCATCATTGATTTTATTCGATTTTCTACTGGTCAATTGAATGCACTGAATGTTGTCCCCTTAATTGATTTTCTTCTCATATAATATAACATGTTAAACAAAGAATATACAAAAGATAAACCTTCAATATTCCATATTTCAAAAAAGCCCGAAACTATTACCATCAAATATCAACACAAAACTTAAAACATTACATCAATTACATTACAGGAAGCCGCCTAACATTGCACCAACAAATTATAAAAAAAGAAACCACCATCTTTTCATCTACACACTTCCTATGTTTACACAAATTTTTCGTTGAATATTCAACAACTACCATATATATTAAGAAAAAAAAATTAACATAGTATTTAACTTGGAAAAATACCATGCCTATATACTTTTCCAAATTAAAAACTGTGTGTGTGTATATATATGCCTTCACAATCAACTGTCTTCACATGACTAATGTATGTATATATTTATAAAAGTGCCAGCTCTTCTCTTTGTTGTAATTTCTTTAGAGTATATATATATATATATATATATATATATATATATATATATATATATATATATGTTGTAACCATAACATGTTCCTAGAGTATCTGTATATTTTTTAATTTGATATATATAATATATATAATCCATTGAGTATCTAGATCTTGTTTTAATCTTGATGCTATTATAACATGTAGTATTATATATGTAGTATATATGTGTGTTTAATTAATTAATTAATTAATTAATATAATCCATGGAAACTGGAAAAATCTGATCTGGGTTCCCTGGAGACCATGATCTTAGAGAAAGACCATAGCCGAGCACCTTCCTCTGGATCGCATGCTAGTTTTGATGCTGAAGCTTCGTTGCAGTCTGCAAAGTATTTTCCGCTCACATTTCTTAGTCTTGGGTCACTTGCAACATAGCATGTGGTCGCCGCCGCCTGTATATTTCAAAATTATATATTCATGCATGACAAATCAGTCATAAACTAACTAAATTATATATATATATATTCAACCATCAAATAATCGAAATTAACCAGCATATATAAACTAACTTTTTAATAATGCTTAGTTAATAGGGATTACCATTTTTATCAAAATAGACTAAATACGTTATGTTTGTATAGTTCGTAAGTGTGTACTAAATAAAAGTTAACATTTTAATTTGTTGGGGTTTTCATAAATCTATATATTGTCATGCTAAATATATTTTATTCTTTAAGGGAAGTGATTCGTATACAACAATTTTTTACCATACACAACAATTTATGCATTATAAAGTTGTACAATACAACATTTTAAAGCACAAATTGTTGTGTATGGAAAAAAAATGTTATGTACGAATCAGTTCCTATTCCTTAAAGAAGATTGGTTCTTCTTTTTCTTTTAGAAAAAAACATATTTGAACATTAAACTGAACTAAAAATGGTTAGGTTGATTTTTCTTTTTAGAAAACCAAATGTACTTAATTAAACCGAACTGAAACTGGTTGCATTAATTTTTCTTTTTATAAAAAAACGTATTTAAACCGAAGTGAAACAGTTTTTATACATATATACAGTACACACATGTATATAATCATAGAACGAGTCGCAGTTATATTTTAGATGGATGTGCAAGAGACAGAGATATATAAATAAAAGATATATAAATACAGTACCTGAGGAATGGTTTTTAACAGCTTTGAAGACAGAAAAAATACGAGATCTGCATGTTTAAGAATTCATCTTCAGAAAGTATAACAAAAATAGAAGATTTATCAATCTATACACCAATTCAGAATTAATTAGTTTGCTGTTTTATTAGCTATGTATGATGTATGATCTGTAACAAAACTGGCTATATATGTATATTTTAATCTTAAAGTTACCTGTTACAAAGCCTTTGTGATCTCTTGTTAGCCCCGTTCTCACGATCCCAGGATGCACACAGTTTACAGTCACGTTCGCCTCCATTTGCTAATTAAAAAGTAAAAAAGAAATGAGATTTTGTAATCTTCATAGAAATCTTAACAAGAAATTTTTAATGGAAAAGATATGAAAAAGATGAGAGATGGTTTGAACAAGATAATATATAGAAACATAGGAACACACGTGATGTGATGTTTATGTAGAAGAAGAAGAAGAAGAAATAGAAAAGAACAAGTTTCGTCTTTTAATCAGTAAAATAATTTTATATTCTTCAATTGGAAATATATATATATATATATATATATATATATATATATATATATATATATAATCATCATGATCATGTAATGATACCTTGAGTCTCCGAGCAAGTTCCTTGGTATGCAAAACGTTAGCGAGCTTCGAGATTGCATATGCACGTGTTGCATCGTACTGACTGCATACACAAGAGACAAATATGCAGAGAACAAGTCAAAACCAATATTATATATATTTAATTAATCTCATATGCATAACTGCTTGATTAATTCAGTATTCAATTACAAGGTAATTGCATTCGAATCTATACAATCGTGAATATGAATTATACTTTCCAACTAATTAATAACATTATAGCAATTGATTTTGAGTTTAAGAATCATTGTCAACATAATTAGGTATTTTTTGTTTCTTTGTGAGATCGATCGTTTTGTTTCTAGATGCTTTTTTGTTTTTTTCTCCTAGAAATCTCAACAATTTATGTTGAACGCAGTAATTAAAGCGTGGAATTTGCCAAGAATATTTGAGAATCGTCTGCAATCAAACAAAAGTAGACAAAATCTGGGCATTAATTAGATAAATATCCCGTTTAGAGTTAATCGTTTTCTTCTCGATTATCCCCGAGCTGGAGTCGATTTGTGTGATTTTTAAATAACTTCTGAATCAGTACCTTTTATCCCGAGTGATTCGACCAAGAGAACGAATCAAGTCGCCGGAAAACCAGGTATGGATGCCGGAAGATACGTTCACGATACGACCTTGTACGCAGGTTATGTTTGCCGTCTCTATCATATTCTTCATCAACAGTTCCGTTAACAAAAAATGACCTAATTCAAATTAAAACAATCAATTCAATATGTACACATAAAATAATCACACTTTCACTGTGCATACTGATATATAAGTGGTTATTGATAGTATTTTGCAGAAAACTAACCTAGATAATTCGTTGCAAACGTCATCTCCATCCCGTCTTCCGATATACAGTGATTCTGAGAAAATTTCCCGGCGTTGTTACTGTGATAATTAAGAATATATTCATTCATGACTCGGTGTGAGAAATTAATAACTGAAACTGAAGGAATTAATGATCGATCATTTTACATGAGGAGATTAAGCGGAAGATTAAGAGCTTCAAAATCAGAAACAAAACTCCTGACGGAATGAAGCGAGCTAAGATCAAGAGTCATAACAATAATCTCCGAATCAGGAAACTCCGACAGGATACGAGCCTTATTCTCCTCGGCGGCCTTTAGATTCCGAGCAGGCAGGATAAGACGAGCACCGCGCTTAGCCAGGACGCGAGCCGTCTCAGCTCCGATCCCGGACGTCGCACCTGATTAGATTAAATCGATAAATTCAAATAAACAAAACCAAAAAAATTAGATCAGATTTAAAAACAAAATAAACGAAAAGGAATTTGCATCTCTCCACTGATAATACGACAATGATGACTATGCATGTGCATGAATATCAATACGATTATAGATTTGTAGGTCATGATTATTACCTGTGATGATGGCGGTGCAAGAGCATAAACGATGGCAGTCATCGGTGACTTGCTCGGCGGTGGATTTGGAACCGTAACCGCTTGCTCCGGCGCAGCCGATCAGATACTTAATCATCTCAATCATTTTTAATTTGTCGACTGTGAACTGAGAGTGCGCTGCAGCTGTATAGCATAGACTAGACACCACACCACAGACAGATGATTTGAAATTTTGCGGTTTGATAGGGGTAGTGGGGGCCGGTGAATATGGCAGAAGGTATCGGAATCGGAGGAAGAAGATGAGATGGTCCTGCTGAGAGAGAGAGAGAGAGAGAGAGAGAGAGAATTGCATATTTGTCTTGTGATTAATATAATTTAATATAGACTTTAATTCAAAATATCCGATTAAAAAAGTAATATGGAAATCAATATAATGCCCAAGGTTTTGTCATGATATGTTTACTTGTTTTGACGTTGTACAAAAGGTGATGTCATAATAGTTGAGTGCTTGCTAATTTCATAATATGTTAACATTTTTAAAGGAAATGATGAGATTTTAAAAAGAAGATCGATAAGCTATTGCAAGAAAACGGATTATAATATATAATCATCCATATTTGAATACTTTATTTTAATCACAAAATTTTAAAAAGAAAATGTTGAAAATAACCACATTTGTCCATTCTAATTCTTGAATTGATTTTTGTCGATACGTAATACACTTACTAAAATCGTATCTTTTTAGTTATTTTAACTAAGTATCATAAATCTGGTTACATTTTTAGAAAAATTGTTATAAATGATCAACGAATTATTCTATTTGTTTACTATTAGTTATTCAACTTACTTTTGTCTAATCTTAGGTTTCATTTTAGTCTTTTAGTCTCTTAATTTAGCTAGATATAGTCTTAACCTGTGTAAGTGATATTTTTTTAAGAATTTGGATTAAAATAATATTACATATGACTTGGCATTTTAGTTTGTTACTCAATTAGGTTAGATTTAATTACAAAGTAGAGGGTAACAATTCAGATAAGGGCTATAGCTCGATTATAGTCAGATATTTTTTTAAGAATTTGGATTAATTTTTTTATTAAAAGCACCATATAAGCCAGATAAATGCTATACTCGGTTAAAACTTAAAAGTGCCAAATTGAGAATATTTTGTACGTTAATTATCTAACAGATAGTCAAAAATAAATTGAACGATTAAAACAAATAAATAAAATAATTTGTTAGTCATTTGTAACTTTTTCTTTCTTAAAGTTACGAGTATAACTTCGATTTACCTTTTAAAATGCAACAACACTTAATCTAAATCTTTTGGCAATCGTTTTGTACATTTGAAAACCCAAAATTAGTTTATCATATTTCTCTAAATGGCAATATAAACTAATTTTACTAATTAACAACAAACAGTTACCCTTTGATTAATTAAATCAAAATTTCCAATCAAATGCTAATTTTAATGTTAGATCTTCATATAATTTTGAACTTATAGTAAAAAAACGTTCAATTGTGTTGTACACGATATAAAGTTACGACATTGTTTAATTTTGTGATAGCTTTGAGATGTATATTTTATATATTCTTCCAATTTTTCTGGTTAATTGTATCTCTATTTATTTTTCCGTTATTACTTTTGTTTTCTAATTGTTATTACATAAACAATTAATTGATTTTTGAATATATGAAGGTAGATTTTGACTTCGAGGGAAGTCAAAGATTCGTCCTTCCTTCCAATCCAACCGGCGAATTGCTCGATACATTCAATTAACAAATTCACTATTAATTTAATAAGGTGTACCCCATTACTAATTCCTTGTCTCTCCAAAATCTCTAATTACCTTCTAATTACCTTAATATCAATGATATTAAAATATTTTATTTTCTTTTGTTGTATTCATGTATTAAATAAGTTTATTTAAAAGATAATTTAAATATGAAACTCTAAATATTGCAATTATTATATTAAAATACTATATAAAATTTAATAAAAAAAATACAATGACATATAGAATTAAAAACTAATTTAAAATAATCACAAAATAATATGTGACAAAATGAATGAGTGTGAAATGCAGCAAAAAGATATTTATTAATTAGAGTAGATTATTATTATCATCAACACTTATAGACGCCCTATATTTCGTTTCGATTATCATTATGTTATTTTTTTCATTCGGATTATCCATATGTTATTTTATTCGTTCTGACTATCTTTATGTTATTTTTTTCGTTTGAACTATCATTATGTTATTTTTTTAGTTTTTTTGAAACCGCACTTTCCAAATGCAGAAAATGCTATAAAAATTAAAATTGTTATGAAATATTAATTGCAGAAAAATAGATCCAAACACTAAAATTTTATAATACGACATTTAAAAATATTAATTCAAACATTAAGGGCAGGATATGTTATAATTATAAAAAAAAACTACATAAATTTTAAAAAATTGTTATATGTCGTCATCGCCCCCCTCGTTCCATCAGGTATCATTTCGTTGCGACAAAGATCGAAACCACTCTTCAAGTTTCGTACTACATATGAGGTCTTTAAGCATTATTTGAAACATATCCAACTACAAAATAAAAAATAAAAAATTAAAAAAATTAAAAAAAATTAAAAAAATCTTATAAGTTAAACCAATAACTTACCAAAATATAAGCAAAATACAAACTATATTACCAACACGTTAAATTATAAAACTAACAGTTATCAAACTATAAACTAACAAGTATCAAAATACAAATTACCAACATATCAAACTATAATTAAACTAACTATTACCAAACTATAAAATAATAACATAGGAAACTATTACCAAACTAACAATTACCAACATATGAACCTATTACCAAACTAACAATTAACGATATATGGAACTATTATCAAACTAACAATTTGCAACATATCAAACTATTACCAACATATCAAACTATAACAAAATAAACAATTACCAAAATATAATTAAACTAAGAATTACCAAAATATAACAAACTAACAATTACTAAACTACAAATACCAACATATCAAACTATAACCAATATATATGGGATTTTGAAATTAAATAGTCTCATTTTACATGTGATTGTGGCGGTGGCTATGACAATGGTGATAAAATTCTTTCTTTAGTTAAAACATCTTATTTAGCATTAACAATTAGATTAATTATACTTTAAATAAACAATTTGATATATCATAACATGCGTTCTTTTGAACAAACACTACTGTACTAGCACGACCCCCCTTTGTTTGCGTATTTTTGTTGCTTACAGATTACTTTGTTTGTCATCGAACACTTTATAAATTCGATTGTTTGAAAATGTTCAACTGTTTACTCCTAATTACCAAGTGACATACCCTTGAGGTGGGTTGGCTAATGCTCTTAGGATATCTGCAAGCCCTTTGATTCTCTAAAAAAGATTAATCGTTTTACTTTTTCGATCTCTATAATATTTTTGTAAAGATGCATCAATGCCCTGCAACAACCTAGCACTCTGGGGATCCAAAGAAACCCGATCCAAATCCAATTTTTTTACAAATACAAAAAGTTAGTTAATTGAATATCAATCACAAATAAACATAAAATATTATCATATAAATAATTCACCTTCAGATTTATGATTATTGCATTCCTTAAAATGGAGGAAACATCATTGGCGGATGCACCATAGATCCCGGGGTATCCTGGGATACCCCTAAAAAAAATTCGGTACTATAAATTTTTTTGAAAAAAATCGTTTTATATAGTGTATATATACATAATATTAATATGTTTAGCAAGGTAATAACACAAGTTGTAGTTGGTTAAGATGGTTAATGTGTTACAGGATGTTGCTGGAATCTTATTTCCAACATTTATTTACATTTATCTTAAGAAGCTAAGAAAATTAAATGTAAGTATTGAATTATCGAAGCGGTAAAGTGTCGAACTTTTAAGTTTGAGGTCCTTATTTCGAATCTTGGCCATTACAAGGGTGTATTTTATTTTGTTTATTAGTTTTTTAATTCTAAAATTGTCCCACATCGGCCATAACATGAAACATAGCTCATATACATATGTTATATAAGCAATATAACCTTCTCAATTCTCAACAAGTTAAACTTTTGAATGAGTTTGGGTTTAAACCGAAACTGAGTTTGGAAAACCAAGAAACTAAACTCACCAGTTTGGGATACCCATCTATTTTGACCATGACTCCGCCATTGGGAAACATGGTCTCAATCATATACGCTAAAAGGGATGTTCTCCCAAATATATAGCCCAATATCATGGGAAAACATATTATCATGTTTCCCGATAGGGGTCAATGTAATATCTCTGTCAAAATCCAAAGCCACAAGCTTCCCCTTGTTTTTCGGTAATAGCTTTGAGAGTTTAATGTTTTTTGCCAATGCTCTTGTTCTTTTAGTTGGAAAAGATGAAAGATATAATTAAAAATATTAGTTATAACAACTAAGTAAATATATTAATTAAATAAATCATAATTAGACTTATCATCCTCTGTGTGATGTCCATGACCAAAGCCTACTAAATATGGTGGATCCTCGTCTCCATCACTTCCATGGTTGAGACCCATCACATCGGTCATGATGTAAGATGATGCAATCCAAGTAAACCCCATTCATGAAGATGTTGCGCCATTCATGGAAGATGTTACGCCAAAGTGATGGATGTTGCACCTAAGTGATAGATGTTGCGCCAACTGGAAGATATACCAAAGTAAGAGATCTTGCGCCATTCCTGAAGAATGCTACGCCATCATTGCACAAGATGGGTCGTCATCATGCAATTTGTGCCATCTTGGTGCGAGGGGCGCCATTGTGGTACCCTGATGATCCGTATGTTATGTAGTCCTCTATAATGCTCAAGAGTGTTCAAGATTACTCAGAAGTTGGTGATGCTTAAGGAATACATCATGTTGTGTCACCATGATGGATGTTAGGCCACTAGTAATCATGATACTCCACTATGACTCATGGTGCTCCATCATGTGTTTGGTTTATGCTCATGAAGTTGAAGGTTCTAGAACCGTCTGCATGGCACTCCGTGATTGGTTGGAGATTAGGACATCCCCTAAATGGGTTAATTATGGATGTGTCTTGCCCATCAGAATTAGAGTTTCTCATGTTTGCCAATAAATATGTTCATGTCCCCATCATTCTAAATTGCTAGATTTATGTGAGAGCTCAAAGTAAGATATTATTTTGAGTGATTGTAATAGTTTTAGAAAATTAATAAAATCTCTTTCTCTCTCTCTCTCTCTCTCTCTCTCTCTCACACACACACATACACACACACACGTGGATGTAGGTCACTTTGACCGAACCACGTTAAATATTATATTCCTTTTGATTTACATTTTTTCAGAAGTTTTATTTCCTGAAACTTATTTGATATTTGTCTGAAATGTTTACTTGTTTTGTTGTCATCCAACATAATTTGACAAATATTTATATCTAACCAACTAAAATGAATCAAGTATTCAAGTTATCTAAAAGGAATGTTAAAATTCGCATATGTGTTCACATACACATTCTAAATTTTCAACAAAATAACAAATTATAATGATATTTTTTTTGTCTTGTTTGGAGGGAGATTTGGTAACGTGGTGTATATTAAAATGTAAGTGGTTTTGTCGTTCCACTTTGCTCCCAAAAAGAAATAGAAACAATTAATTTAGTGTTCATCGTGTTTCATGTCATACCATTTTGAAACCATTCTTTGATTCTAATGATATAACAGGCCTTCTCGTGCAAACCTTTAACTTTAACATTAACATTAACATTAACAGGCCTTCTCGTGTAAACGACTCATATGGATACACTGCATTTTAACTAATCCATCTTTATGACTTGGATAGAATTTACCTCTATGTGTCCCTCTCTTGTGGATCATAGACCCCGACAATCTATCTATTCCATCATTCTGCTTCTAGCTAAATAGGTAAACAACTATCTTAATTATAACCAAATGCAGATTTGAAACTATTTATTAGACGTTTAATTAACCTATGCAAAAAAAAATATTAGAATATTACAATGGCTGTGAGATATGTTCCTTGTACAACTATGTACAACTTAATATAAACAATAAAAAATGTTAAATTAAAAAAAAATTAAAAAATATTTGAGCATTCAAGAATTGTGCATTGATTACTACTTAATTTTTCAAAAAAAAATATATATTGTGTTAAGTCGTGATTAGAGCTTGTCTTGTGTTTGGATGCAAAATCCCACTTGACCACACCTGTGGATTTTGAAATCCCAAAAGTTAATTAATTAAGTTGTTAAATGCTTCCTTTATCTCTTATATATACCAGCTTAGCCACTAGAATTGACTAAGCAACCCACTATTTGAAAGTGATTAGTCAATAATTTGTGTCGTTTTAAGGATGATATAAGAAATTATATTATATGATTTCATGTTTACCATTTGATCTTACATTTTAGAGTTATTTACCCTAATGAAAATATTTTTAAAAAAAAAAGTATTGCATAATTTTGAAAAAACAAAATCTTGATAAAAAAACAAGTTCGGAAATAGTTTTATTCCCGAAAAAGTAGTTTGAAATTTCATTCCCTTTTGCGTGGTAGGTTCAAAATCTCATATATGGTTCGGAAATTTCGAATTTATTTTTTATATTTTTATGTTCCGAACTTGTTTACGATTTTTCAATTTGTTCTTGAGTTTCAAATTAGTTATTTGTATTAGATATATATTGAAATGATATAATAGATATCGAGAAAAAAAAAACATTTTTTTAATAAACAATGTGGAGAGAGAGAGAGAGAGAGAGATATGCTTTTTGATAATCAAGAAAATTGTTAAATAGTTGTGAGACCCATATAAGTTAATTTAAAAAATAGTAAATTACACGAATAGTCCCTATGGTTTAGGGTAATTTGCGCGTTTGGTCCCTAATTTATTTTCTTAACTCGGAAGATCTCTACTGTTTGTTTTTGTTACACGCTTGGTCCCTGACTTACCTAAAAATATTATTTTTCCCTTGATTTTTTGATTTATTTAAATAAACACACCCCCAATCTCACCTCCCTCACCTTATCTTACTTACCCCACCATTTTTTCATATTTAAAAAATAATTTTTTTAGGTAAGACAAGGACCAAACGTATAACAAAAGCAAACAATAGAGACCAAACTCGTAACAAAAACAAACAATAGGTATCTTCCGAGTTAAAAAAATAAGTTAGGGATTAAACATGCAAATTACCCCAAACCACATGGACCATTCATGTAATTTACTCTTTAAAAAATAAAATATAATATAAAGGTCAACATATTCGAGAGCTTTGAATTTATAAAAAAAAAATAAAAAAATAATGATTTATTATAATTGAAATATTTTTTATTTTTTAAATTTAAACAAATGATTTAAATAAAGAAAGGAAACTAATAAACTTTAATTTTGGGAATTTTATAATTAAAATGTAAGTTTATTAGTGAAATTAATATCCATTTATTATTACATTTATTGCAATTATTATATTAAAATATTATGTGGAATTTAATAAAATAGAAAAACTCATAAAATAACATGTGAAAAAAAAATTTTAAATAACTACAAAATAATATTTAACAAATTGAATGAGAGTGTGATAAATATCAAAAAAACAAACTGTCATTTATTACAAAGGTTTGATATTCAAATTTACGACTTCCAAATTATATCAAATCAATTGATCTGTTTATACAAAATCAAAATAACATGTATATGATAATATGAACGTTTAAATATTTCAAGAATCTTGGCATTACTAATTTCCACTAACCCATTATCTCCTAATCCAACTAAAATATACAACTAAAATATACTATCAAAGTGTAATTATTGAATGCTACTATTCTTCAATGATTGCCATTCTTTTTGTGGCCCCAATATTCATAATATATAGGGATTGGAGTAGTCGTTTTCTCATGTATCATAACATATTTCTTCAATAAATTTTCATGTTAACATCAACATTGTTTATGTTAAAATCATTATAAATTGTTGGTGATATCCATCTTAATTAACACTATTTTCCTATCAAGTATCTTTATATCCACGAGACTAAAATGTTATGGTTCTATTAATTTGTAACTGTAATATACTTCACTATAATTGATGATAGTTAGGTGTAACTTCCTTAGTGGACTAAATGTCGTCCAGACCAAATTTTGTAAATTAACATAACATTATGTGCAATAATGTCACTTTTCGTGAGTTTAAAATGTAAAGAAAGATGGGATGTTATATAATCCATGATCAAAATCAGATTCCTATAAATCCAAATTCATGGATAATTCATAAAGCTAGGGTTTCAAATTTTCAGCAATCAAAGCTTCCTAATCTATTTTTTTCATAGAAATGATATCTCATCAATTGTTAACATTAAATATTATAACTCGATACTAAACCCATTGAATCACATAATTGAATCGATTTCGAATTTGGTAAAAACAAGAGTTTTACACTATTAATAGATATTTAAAAAGGGGATGAAAAAAATGATTAAATGTTAATTACATTAAAATCTTTTCAATTGTGTTAAAACTACAATTATAACCTAGTACTATGGGTTTACAGGTTACCTTGTTTGTTTGGATAAAAAAAAGATTAAATGTTAATTATATGGATAATATAAATAGCTTGATAGAGTAATATAATTTGAGATGATGTTAATATGCTATTATCTTATAAAAATGATATTAATTTCATGTTTTATGCAATCATTATTTATTAAATTCCAGAAACACTACGACCATGAGTGTATTCAGATGTATATAAAGTGATTATAACATATTTAAGCAGCAATCACCAATTTGCTTGTTAAAGCCTAGCTGATAGCAAAAAGGTAAATAATAAATAAAAGTTGATACAATCTTCTTTACTATAAATATTAATCGAGAGGTGAAAGCTTTTGTTAACATAAAACAAGAAAAACGATGAATGAAATCTCATAATACACTTACATTATTAAAACTGAAACTTATGAAGATTGTAGTTTCTTCTTGTAATCTTGGAAGGTGCCATTGAAAGGTGTCACCCTGCCATCCGACACTGCCCATAACTGGTCAACGCTGCCCGAAATCAGATGCTCATCGTGACTCACCTGAAAGTTTTAATCCATTCATCAGTTATCACCACAAATAAAAATAAATATTTATATAAAAAAAAGGTTAGATAAATAGTTAAAGTGAATTAGAGTATAATTAATTACCATGAGAACCCCTCCTTGGAATAGAACAAGACCTTGTATTAATGCTTCCACAGCATCCAAATCCTGCATTTACAAATTACAGCATAAATTTTAATATTCTTATATATCTTTATTTGACATTATATAACGAGGGTATTTTGGTCTTTTAATAAATAAATAAAAAGAGCAATGGAGTTTGAAAGATTCCAACGGAATTGAATTCCGTTAATTTGGCAATAAAACGGAATCTCTAAATCCAATTCTGTTCGGAATCAACAAACCAAACATGTCCGGAATATTTTTGGAAGGAATGGAAGGAATTGTTTAGCAAATAAGAATTCTAAAGGGAGTTCTTTTTCAGGGTCAAATTCAAGATTTTAAGGAAAAATAAAAATAAAAAGGTAGCAATGATTTGGATGATCCCACCAGGGATTATATAAGTAATGAAAAGGTTTACAAAAAATATATGGTGATATCCCAC